TTGTATGAAGTTCGTAATGGATACTACAGCCTATGACAGAAAATTGTCTGTGCAGGTCCACGCCTTCGTATAGCTCCCATATAACGGTACCTGCCCTTATTCGGTATTTTGATAATTTTAACGACAATATTCAACGAAATTGCTTCAAATTACGTATTTAGAGTTCGTAATGGGAACTACAGTCTGTGACAGAGAATTGTCTATGCAGGTTCAGGTCTTCGTATAGGCCCTATACATCAGTACCTCCCGATATTAGGTATTTTGATGATTTTATCGACATTATTCACCGGAATTGTTTCAAATTTGGTATTTGAAGTTCCAAACGGATACTATAGCCCAATACAGAAAATTGTCTGCGTCGGTATACGTCTTCGTATAGCCCCCATATAACGGTACCTCCCTATATTCGGTATTATGATGATTTTAGCGACATTTTTACCGGATTTGGTTCAAATTTGGTATTTGAGGTTCGTAATGGGAACTGCAGTCTGTGACAGAAAATTGTCTGTGCAGGTCCACGTCTTCGTAGAGAACCCATATAATTATACCTCCCGATATTCGGTATTTTGATGATTTTAGCGATATTATTTACTGGAATTGTTTCAAATTTGGTATTTGAAGTTCGAAACGGATACTATAGCCTAAGACAGAAAATTGTCTATGCAGGTCCATGCCTTCGTATAGCCCCCATATATCGGTACCTCCTGATATTCGGTATTTTGATGATTTCAGCGACATTATTCACCGGAATTGTATCAAATTTGGTATTTCAGGTTCGTAATGGGAACTACAGTCTGTGACAGAAAATTGTCTATGCAAGTCCAGGTCTTCGTATAGGCCCCATATATCAGTACCTCCCGATATTAGGTATTTTGATGATTTTATCGACTTTATTCACTGGAATTGTTTCAAATTTGGTATTTGTTCAAAAGTTCAAAACGGATACTATAGCCTAAGACAGAAAATTGTCTGTGTCGGTTCACGTCTTCGTATAGCCTCCATATAACGGTACCTCCCAATATTCGGTATTTTGATAATTTTAGCGACAATATTCACCGGAATTGTTTCCAAATTGGTATTTTCGTAATGGATACTACAGCCTAAGACAGAAAATTTGTTATGCAGGTCCACGTCTTTATATAGCCCACATATAGCGGAACCTCCCGATATTCAGTATTTTTATGATTTAAGCAACATTTCTCACCGGAGTGGTTTCAAGTTACGTATTTAGAGTTCGTAATGGGAACCTACAGTCTGTGACAGAGAATTGTCTATGCAGGTCTTCGTATAGACCCTATATATCAGTACCTCCTTTTATATGGTATTTTGACGATTTTAGCTGCATTATTTACCGTTTATTTCGAGTTTCGAATTTGAATATGGTAATGGCTTATGACAAACAAAACCTATGGATGTCCACGTCGTATATACCCCAATGTAATGGCTGTATTCGGTATTTTTAAGATTTAAACAGAATTTTTAACGGATTTTATTTTTTTAATTTTCTAATTAGTTCCAAATGATGGAGGGTGTTCAAAGTTCGGCCCGGCCGAACTTACTGCTTTTTAACTTGTTTGGAACACTTTCATTTAAGGTATGTAGTACCTTCTTCAATATTACAGATAAGAATACGATTAATATTTTGCTAGAAAATCCTAATCCTCTAACGAGTTACCAAAAGGGTATTATTGGTCCCTTTTTTTCAAAATATGGTTAAAACTGTCTTTATAAATTCAACGAATTTATTTGCCATGAAATTCCAGCTTAGGTCCTAGAAGACGTCAAGGGTCTTAATTTTACCCAAAGCCCAGGAATTCATGATAAAAAAAAACTTTTTTGGGTTATAGCCGTACTTCATGTGAGTTTGTGCAAAAATCTTCTACCAAGCATTACTTAAAAAGAATGATGTCTAGGACAAATATTTTCTTCATCAAATTTAACCATAAGTCACCAAAGAAAGGAAATCTCAATTTCCATTGTATGTCAAAGTAGTTTTGCATAAATGTTCCAAAAAAAAACGGAAAATATTTCCTAATTTTTATACCCTCATTTGTCAAACATAGATCGAGTTCGGAGATGGGCAATATCGGTCCACTCCTTCTGGTACCACCTCCACAAAAGATGGAAATTTTCAAAAAATATATTTTCTGCACAGAAAGAGAAAGGATAATACGATTTTACTCCATCTTTGCAAATCTAAACATTTGCGTCAGTTCTAGGTCCGGTGGTCCACTCCTTCAAGTACCTCCCCCACAAAGGGTCAAAATGTGATGAAAGTGTCCGATTGTCTTCAAATTTCACACACCCCAATATTTATATTAACCCAAGGTGTGGTGTTAAGATGGAATATATGGGTCCACCCCTTCTTGTACATCCCCCACTAATGGCCCCAATTTTCAAAAAACAAATAATTTTTTGCATAAATAGAGAAACAATAATCCGATTTTGCTCCAACTTTGCAAATTCTAATATCTGCGTCAGTGCTAGGTCAGGTGTGAAAATGGACAGTATCGGTCCACTCCATCAAGTACCTCCCCCACAAATGATCAAAAATTTGAATTATTACAACTCTCATAAAATGTTATGTAAGAGTCCGATTGTCTTCAAATTTCACACATCCCAATATTTTTATTTACCTAAGGTCTGGTGATAATATGGTCTGGTGGTAATATCGGTCTACTTCTTCTTCTGTTACCTCCCCCACAAAAGGTAGAAGTTTTCAAAAAAAAAATAGGTTCTGCACAGAAAGAGAAACGATGATCAGATTTTGCTCCAAATTTGCCAATCCTAATATTGCCGTCTGTTCTAGATCAGGTACGAAAATGGACGACATCGGCTCATTCTATCAAGTCCTCCCCCACAAACGGTCAAAATTTGAAATAATTACAAATCTTATAAAATGTGATGTAAGAATCCGATTGTCTTCAAATTTCACACATCCCAATAATTTTATTAACCCAAGGTCTTGTGTTCAGATGGAATATATCGGTAACACCTTCTGGTACCTCCCCCACAAAATGTCAAAATTTTGATTATTCATGAAACTTACAGACCACGAAATTAACATCCGATTCCATTCAGACTTGGCACATCTCAACATTTCTATCAGCACAAGATCTTTTATAATGATGGTAGGGATCGGATCATTCCTTCTGGTACCTCCCCCACAAAGGGTCAATATTTTGAATAACTAAAACGACCATAAAATCCGAAATAAGAATCCAGTTTTCTTTGAATTATACATATCACAATATTTTTATTAACCCAAGGTGAAGATGGGAAATATCGGCCAACTCCTTCTGGTACCTCCCCCACAAAATGGCAAAATTTTGAGCATCATGAACCTCATTAATCGCGAAAATAACGTCCGATTCCATTTACACTTGGTACATCTCAACATTTACATCAACACAAGATCTGTTATAAAGATGGAGTAGATCGCACCATTTCTTCTGGTACCTCCCTCACATAGGGTCTAAGTTATGAATATCCAAAACGTTTATAAAATCCGAAACTAGCATCAGGTTATCTTCATATTTCACACATCCCAGTATTTCCACTAACAAAAGATATGCTGTGAAGATGGGATATATCGGTCCACTCCTTTTGGAGTGGATATTTTGAGTATCCATGAAGCTCATTAAACTTACCATTCAGACATGATACATCTCAATATTTCCATTAACACAAGATCTTTTATGAAGACGGTACAGATCGCACCATTCCTTCTAGTACCTTCCCAACATAGGGTTTAAGATTTTGAAAAAAAAAAACACTCAAAGAAAACGAAATAAAAATCAAACTCCTTTCACATTTCTCTCATCCAAATACTACTAATATACTACCAAAGGGTTACAATTTCCTATACTTATATCTGTCATAATTTGCGAAACAAGTCGGCAATTTTTTACAATATGTAATTTATCGGAATTTATGATTTTGCATAAAATTGGATATAAAAGTTCGATTTCCTTCAAATTTTGCACATTCCATTATTTTTATCTGTATTAGATGTAGTATAAAAAGGGAATACTTTGGTCTTCTATATCTGTTACCCCACGCATATTTTCACATTTTCCAAAAATGATCACATATCTCATGTAAAGTGCAGGAAGTAGTCGATATAGTCCAAATCTGGCTCGTTGTAATATTTATATCAGTCTTAGGTCAGATACGAATTGTTCAACATGAGCCAACTGCTTCGGGACCTCCCCCCATAAAGTGTCAAAAGTTTGAATAATTAATTAATTAATTAATTATCAATAATTAATAATTACTCAAGGCTGGGGAGGTATATATCTGTCGGCAAAACCGACTGATACTATTTTATTTGTTTTATTTATTTATGTATTTTTTTATTTGTTTATTTTGTTCACATTTTATTTTTAGATCCTAAATATTATCAATTTTTTATTTGTTTATAAAATTAATTGTTTATATAATTCCTTAACACATCAATTATTAATTAATATTTAATATTTATTTCTATAATTACTTATTTATTCATATTTTTAATTATTCTATTCATTCATTGTATCGTTAATCTTCATTGCTTTTGTCGCACATTTTCCGTTGATAATGAAGGTACTCCCTTAGAACATTTCATTCCCTTTTCTGTTAATTAAAATTGTTCTTCTTGCGAATATATCTCTTTGTCACCCTGTGACCACTTAACATGGCACGACAAAAAATCTCCATTTATGAATCACCCAGTTATTGAACATCTCATACTACTGTTAAACAGTCCCCAAAGCAACCAAACATGTTGTGTTGTGTTTGTCATAGGTTGTGTTTACGTTTGACGGTGTGCTTCAAACCTCATTACCATGGCATTTCGTGTTGTTGTTTTCTATTGAAATTGGCAAAAAAATCGTTTAGTTGCGTTCAAACATGTTGCAAGCTTGTTGCCTGTGGAATGTGGATGCCAACGTTGGTTGTGGTTGGCAAAATGTTGCAGCGCATTGTGTTGTGCGGTTCGGGTGTTCGTTCGTTCGTCCATTCAATTTATATTAGTTTATAAACGAATGTTTCCGATAGAATTACAGTTGTTTTTTGCAACGAACGCGTGTGTTCAAAACGACGGTATCGCTTGTTGTTTTTTGCGCCCCAATTTGTTATTGTTGTCGATTTGTAGAATAAAAAAAATTAAAAACTAATTTTGATTTAAAAATTTTATTTGTGTTTTTTTTCAATAATTGAGATAAATTTAAAAGAGAAGAATTATTTAACTTAAATGAAATACCCATATTTCTGGCGTTCTCTGCAAAGATTGATGCGAACCTATGTCAATCGATCAATGGAAATTTAAATATAAAATAAATATATAAAATTGAAAATTAAAAAAATCCCTAAAAAATATATATAAAAAACCCACAAGAAAAAGTTATAAATAAAACTTGAATATAGAATTTTGACAGAATATTTTTCAAAAAAGTTCAAAAAACACCTGAAAGTTGAAAGTGAAAATTAAAACTAATCAAAACGTGATTTGTGACCCAAAATCCTATAAAAATCTAAAAACTAAAAAATTAAAATTAAAAAAAAAAAAAAATAAAAAAATTCAATTTTCAAAATTAAAAATTACAACTTAATTTCCAGTTCCAAAAGTGCTTGTGTGTTGACAAAAATTCTTGGTATTCAAAATCTCTTCTGGATTATAACTATATTTTTTTTGGATTAAACCTGCATGCTGTATTGCCTGAACAGACCTCCTGTTTGTATTTAAAAAAAGGTTCGTTAAATATTTTTTTTTTTCAAAAATTTCATGTTATGTGACCAGAGACAGGGAAATGAATAAAAATAAAACTCATCGACAAAAAAAAAAAACTAAAAGATAACACTTATCATCAATTATTGTGATTATTGCCCATCGACGTAGTGGTCGTCACTGTTGCCTTTCCAGAATTATTTTTAGCAGCAGAAATTCATTTATGAAGAGGGGGACTACTGGAGTGTAATTGGTTTTGAAATTGTTCTTTACGCCCTCCTCACCGTTTTGGTGGGCTGTGCTGTTGTTGTTGTCACTACCATTTAGCCTTTGTGTTTTTGTTGTTCATTTGCTTTGCTTTTATGTGTAACGGTATTCCTCACAGTAAGGGTCAAAGTGCATGTGGCTTTTATGAGGGTGCCTCAGACGTTTTTTTTTATTTAATATTTTTTGGAATCCATCAATGCTTTTAAATTTTATTGGGCTCTGAATTTTTAAAATACCCGAAGAGAATTTTGGAAGCCCTCGAAGAATAGATTGCATTACTTTTTAAAAAATAAAATTTTGGGACCGATTTTTACGACATAACCTTTTTAAATGAAAAAAAAAAACCATATTAATTTTTCCAAACAAAAAAAAAAATAAAATAAATAAATAAAATAAAATAAATAAAATAAATAAACAAAAAAAAAAAAAAAAAACAAAAAAATCAATTTTCCTGAAAAGATACAAAAAAATCGATTAAATTTTTTAAAATTTAAAAAAAAAATCCATACTCATTTTTCAAAAAAAAAAAAAAAATAATAAATAAATAAATAAATAAATAATAAAATAAATAACAACATAACATAAATAAAATAACTAAAATAAATAAAAATAAATAAATAAATTAAAAAATAAAAATATACAAATAAAACAAAAAAAAATCATTTTTTCAAAGAAGATTCAAAAAATAGATTAAATTTTTTTAAATTGAAAATTATTTTGTTGTATTTTAATTTATTTTTATGAAAAAAAAATCTTCAATTAAAATTTATCAATCGAATGGAAAATATGACCAAGACCCTCACAATAACTAAAATGAAGGGGTATCTCTTTATAAGGATTTTCCAAAATTTGGACCTATAGGTATTAAAAATTTGTTTTATACCCTCCACCATAGTATGGAGGGTATATTAAGTTTGTTATTCCGTTTGTAACACCTCGAAATATATATTGCAGACCCCACAAAGTTTATATATTCTTGATCAGCATAAAATTCTATGCCGATTTAGCGATGTCCGTCCGTGTGTGAAAATCACTCTAGCTTCGAACCAAATGATGTAGATAAAATGTTACTCAAATGTTTATGTCTGCAGGACTTTTGGTATTGAAAACGGGCCATGTAGATCCACGTTTTCGTATAGCCCCCATATAACGGTACCTCCCGATATTCGGAACTTTGTTGATTTTAGCGACATTATTCACCAGAATTGTTTCAAATTTGAAAGTTGAAGTTTCGTAATCGATGCTACAGCCTATGACAGGAGATTGTCTGTGCAGGTCCACGTCTTCGTATAGCCCCCTTATAACGGTAACTCCCGATATTCGGTATTTTGATGATTTTAGCTACATTATTCACCGATTTTTTTAAGTTTCGCATTTGAATATTGTAATGGCTTATGACAAAAGTTACCTATGCAGGTCCATGTCATTGTATAGACCCTAATATAACAGCTACATACGGTATTTTTAAGATTTTAATAGAATTTTTAACGGATTTTATTGTTTTTGAGAACTGCCAAATTCGTTCCAAATGGTGGAGGATATTCAAAGTTCGGCTCAGACCGGCCGAAATTACAGCTTTTTTTACTTGGTTATAAATAGCGTTTTCACATAATAAAAAGTCAAAATGCCTGAATTTGGCGAAATTAAATGGAAAACATGGCCAAAACATAGAAAATACTTGAAATCTTTGGTATCCTTTATCCTTAAGTGGTTTTCTAAAAAGGTAGACCAATATGAACCATTTTCTCATCCAATAATACGGGATGTATTCCAAGGAACTCTATCAAATTTCACAGCTCTATCTTAAATGTTGCGAAATACATCTCAATCTATAGGGGTAACTATATATCTGGTCAAAACTGTAGAAAGAACTTAAATACGGTTGGCCTAAGAACCCGAAACTCCTTAGGGTGTTTGATTTACAAACGAGTGCTATCAAATCCACTTGCAATTTTTCACAAGCCAGACTGACTTTTGCACTGGGAAATTATAAGAAAAATTACAGAAAATTGGGGAAAAGTTCTAAATTTTTCAAAACTAAACAGGGGTTTTTATTAACTAAAATTAATGTCATTTTTTTCATTATACACATTAAATACACAAATTTCTTTTGTTCAGAGACTCACAATGAAATTTAATTTAGAATAATTCTTCCTTTGATACTTTACCCAAAAAATGAAGTCTAAAGGGAGATTTTGACTTGGAGTGGAAACGTGTTAAATTGACAGTAATAAAGTACAAATACAAAATATGAACTTAATGTACATAAATTTCGAATATAATTTTCTTAAAAACAATTATATATTTTTTTAATATATAATATAATATTTTAATTATTTCTTCTTTTGACAACTTTTGAACACAAAGAAATTTTATGTTACTTTCAGACGTCAATTCGAAAATAGCCCTGAAAAAATTGATCAAAAAATTAGGTGGTAATTTCGGGGTTTGTGGTAAAATTGATGCAATTATTTTTATGACATACATTGAAAATAGAGATTTCTTTTCTTTGGTGACTTATAATGAAATTTGATGAAGAATATTCTTGTATTTGACGTTATCCTTCTAAATTGTTTTGTAGGGAAATTTTGCATAAATTCACATTAAGTATTTGTATTTACCCTTAAATTTCTGTAAGCAAACATTTATGATATTTTTCATGTTATATAATAAATATACAAGTGTCTTTTAATCAGAGACCCACATCAAAATTTGATTTTGAATATTTCATCCTTTGGTACCTTACACAAAAAATTAATTCTTAAGGAAATTTTTACTTAGAATGGAAACATAAGCAGCATTAAAAAACGTAAACACGTAGTTTTCACTTGGAACACACATATTTCGAATGTAATTTCTTTAAAAACTATTACAGCTAGATATATAGTTTATTCTAAGATTAATAGTGAAATTTAATGTAGAATATTTCTACCTTTGACACCTTTTGTCTAAAATGAAAGTTTATGTCGCTTTCAGGCGTCAACCCGAAAAATGTCCGAGAAAAATATGTATCAAAAAAGTTAGAAAATATTTTCGATTTTTTTTGCAAAATTTATGTAATATATAATGGATATAGAGATTTATTTTCTTTGGTGACTTATAGTGAAATTTGATAAGGAATAATTTTGTCTTTAATGGTATCCTTCTAAAATGATGCTTTGTTGGAGACATTTGGCAGAAAGTCATAGAAAGTACTATATAAAAATTCCTGGCATTTTGAAATTATAATGTATTTTCGGGGGTTTCCGGAAAGATTGATGTACATATTTTTTTGATATTTAATGGAAAAAGAGATTTAATTTCTTTGGTGACTTATAGCAAAATTTGATGAAGATTATTTTTGTCTTGGATGTCTTCCTTCTAAAATAAGGCTTTCTCGGAGATTTTTGCATAAACTCACATAAAGTACGAATTTAACCCTAAAATGTATTTTTAATATATATGAATTCTTGGTGTTTATATACCAAAAATTCCTGGCATTTAACTAAGATTTATAAAAATTTCATCTTCTAGAACCTATAGCAGAAATTTATGATAAATAATTGTATACAATATTTCGATTTTCTTCGACCTCCTTTTAAAGGGATTTTGTAAAATTAATAACTACCATAAAAATGATCAATTTTTACTTTATAAAGAATATTTTTTATTATCGGCAATATTAGGTCTGTTTCAGAATTTCCTGAAAATTTTGCTATAATTTCAGCTTTTTCTTCAATTGCTAGGTTGTGAAAAATTCCAAGTGAGTTTGATAGTACTTGGTTTGTAGATTAAAACCCCAAACATAGTTTTGCCCTTTTAAAAAGGGGCCTCAATATCTTCAGATATATTCCACAAGATTTAATAGAGAACTTAAAAAATTAATAGAGAATTTTGTATTACATAGAGAATTGTTGGTTTTGCAAATGGGTCATTTCGGTCCACTTTTTGCTATAGTCTCTAGTTGAGGTTAAACAACGATTTCAAATATTTCTTACCTTTTAGTCCTATTTTAATCATGTCTCACGGAGTATAAAAAAGTGTTATTTCTTTTCGTAAAATTCCTTAAAAATAAATAAATATTTTTTTAAATAAACAACCAAACCCGCAAGGTGCTGATCCCTACCTTTCAAGTCATTATGCAATCTTGGCAAATTTTTAATTATTTTTCAAGCAATTCGTTCACTACATTAGCGTTTTATGGCCCTCCACAAAGAACCCAGTTCTGATAATTATAAAATAAATTAAAATAAACTACGTATTTGGCAAAAAAAAAAAATAAATAAAAATTTTTGCAAAACTTAAACGAAAAATAATAAAAAAAAAACAACAAAAAATTGCAAATCAACAAAAACCCAGTTTTATTTTGGAATTCTTAAGAAAACCTCAATCTCCTGAGCATGACTTTCTCAGAACCCTAATGAGACAAAAATCGCCAAGACTGGAAATATGGCATAAACTCCCCTGCTGATAATCTCCAGACAATTATACAATTTTTATGTTCTTAATTTAATTTTTGTTCTCTTTTTGTGTTTGTTAACTGCAAATAATAAAAAATATAATTATAATCATTGTCGTCATCGTTGATAAATGGCCGCTGACACTCACTAATAACCCACGAACCAACCAACCTAAGCAACGCCAAACAGCTACGTAGCTGCTGTAGCTGTGAACTATGAGCTGTGAACTCAACGTGAGCAGCCGAAGTGAGTAATAGCTAAAGATAAATTAAATTCTATAAATAAAATCTCTGTGTGTGTGTGTTTTAATACCTTTGT